CTAAGATTTTGAGTCTCACACCATGCTAAGCTTTTTCGAATGCAATTCTTTGAATAACTTGATGACATCTCCGAATGATCTTACGATTTGATAGAGAACGTAGAACATGTATTGGTCTTAGTAACTCAAAACAGCCAAAAATGTCAGATAGGAATTTGTAAAACTAGGGTAACGCAATGGCTGACCCCAGGTAAAAAAAAAAAAAGAGGCTCATTGCGGATGTGTTTTTTTTTTGGTGGGGTTTTTTTTTTAAAGAAAAGCGGAGATGGTAAGTTTAGTTTTCAAAATGCTAATTATTATATGCATCTTAATCATAACCTACATTAAGCAGATTTTGCCACCTACTATTTGACTTTCTCTCCGTTGTTTCTATCAGTCTGTCTGTTCTACCTTTCCCAGCATTACTAAATGGCCATTATTGTGTCGATGTGCTTCTATCAAAACATTACTTTTTCCCAGCACTAAATGACCTTTATTGTGTCAATGTGTTTCTCTTTACTGAAACACTCTGAGCAAATACTAAGTACTTATCGATATTAAGTTTTCTTAGTCGATAAGATATTCGATACTGGCCAGTATTGACTAGTATCGCCCCCCTCCCCCCTCAAACCAACAACTGGGATCGACTTTCTGGACCGTCTGTGCTGCTGTTCCTTCTGGCTGGCTGGTTGTTGGATTGGCCCTTCTTCCTCCCGGCGGCCCTCGATCCTCTCTCGCGGGCGATTTCTGCAAGTGGCTCCCGGATTAGTCTTGGCTGTGGCGGTCCCACGCTCGTGCCTGTCGTCCTAGTGTGAGATTAACTCTTTGAAGACTCTGTTCCAGGGAAATTTATAAAAGAACAAGTATAACTTCGGCACTCATACGCGATTTTTCATGTCTGTTTCCTTTCTTTGACACTTACAAACCTGGGAACAACGCGCAAACTATGAAATATTATACAAATTTGTGTTACTCAGATATATGTAAGATGGAAAGTTTAGACTGCTGTCTGAAGCTGAAGCTGCTTCTTTCCCCGGCCGTCCCCGTTCCTGTTTAATGGGCTTGTGTTGCCTGTTCTCTTTCAAACAAGAACGCTACCTCAGAATTTCAACGTTCTATCTGCTCAGCTCCTAGTTTTGAGAAAGTTTACGTCAACGATTTTGAGTTTCACACTGGTGCATGTCAAGCTTTTTCGAATGCAATTCTTTTAATATCTTGAAAACGACTCCGAATAATCTTACGATTTTGATAGAGCAGACGGAACATTATAATTTGGTTTTTGATCTGATCGTCTTAGTAACTCAAAACGACCAAAAATGTCAGTTAAAACTTTGTCATACTGAGGTAGTGCTTGGTCTGCTGCTGGTCAAACACATGTGCCCTTTACGTCTTTGTAGGGTTTAAAGTGTTCTTTCTGCATTGACTCTTTCGAGTCTGTAGGCTCATTCCCTTTGTTATAGTATTAAACGTTTTACTGCTTTTGCCACGCATTTAGGACATGGTACCAAATCGGCATTGTCTTCTTAAAATGCGATGGGCATACAACTTTAAAAAAAGTTTTAGTACGAGTTTTACGGCATTTGCAACACGATTAGGTCACATAACTGCCGGAGATTAGACGTGTTACAAGAAAGTGACAAATAATACAATAGAAAAAGGAAGAAAGATAAGAAAGTTAGATGTTTCTTAGGAAAGAAGGAGCAGAGCACCCGACAACCGCCCCACTCCTGTTACCTGCCTTGTTGCAGCAAGATAGTTTGAAATATAATATGAATACGTTTTCATTTTCAGCATTAGTTTTAAGCCACAGTCGTGTATTATTATACCCATCAAATTAAAAGGGAAAAAATGAAGATTCAGTATGTACCCTAGCAATAAAGGCAAACAGATATTTCATATTAAAGATGAAAAAAACCCAACCCATTAATATACATTTCTAAAAACCAACAAGGCAGCATCTAACCAGTAGACTTACCAACCTCTACGAGTTAGAAAGGTTCTATCTGCATTAAATGTTTCCAGTCGTACGCTTATCCCTGCTTTGTTGTAGGTGGTTGGCGAGTGCTTTGGTGTGGTTTTCCCGTTATTTCCTATCAAACGTCTATCGTTCTATCTGCTGCACCCCCCGAGACGGACCCAGCTGGCTCACCCCGGACCATCCTCCTCCTCCTTCTCCCCCCCCCCCCCCCTTTCTTTTCTTCTTTTCGTTTATGTTACGCTCAAGTACTAGTAACACCTCTAGTCTTTGGCACTTGTTTATGTTTGCGAGTGCCGTAAAACTCTTATTGAAATTTTAAAATTCAAAAGACGATGTTTTAGTTTCAGTTTTGGTAAGGTTTTTACAGCGCTCGCAACTGCATAAGGTCTTGTGAGGACCAAGGGGTGAATGTCAACAGAGAAGTCCAAACGGAGAATCGGGCTTACTGTGCCCACCTCTCTAGCCTCACAGCACAAAGTCTGCTTCGACCATCAAGGCACCCTGGAAATATCAGTTCTCAAGAGAGTGACCAACATTACACACTAGATTGAGAAGGAAAGGAAAAAATGACGATAGTAAGGATGAGGAGAGAAAAAGCAGCCGTTCCTGGTGTATATGTAAGTGTCATCGATGTCAGAGATATAATGGCCGTGAGTCAAGTCTCTGGTGGCAACGCCCCACCCCACCGACAGTCCAGTCGAAACTGTCTAAAACGACCGTTCCTTGTCTTATACATGTGGCCGTTAAAGCAGGTCCGACGGAATTTTACCGTCCGTTACTCGCCGAAGGTCATCGCTACGATAATTAAGTACGCAGAAGCGAGAAAAATCAATACCTCCGCCTTCAAAGAGGTTCCATTTTCTAAGCTCGCCCCACACCACCCCCACCCCGGAATAACAAAGGCCCTGACCACGTAAATCTCAAAGGACGCCGCGTGTGTAAGAGGAAAAAAAATAATGTTCCAGACATTGTTAGACCTCACTCATCCACTCATCCACTCACCCACTCACCCACTCATCCACTCACCCACTCATCCACTCATCCACTCACCCACTCATCCACT